CTCTTTTAATGGGCAGAAGAAATGTTGTTTCTTTTCCTGTCAGGCAATTTACATCCAAGATTCAAAAGAGGGAGTAGTGGCTGGGTGACCTTGACTTGCATAGAACAAAGCTTCGAACAGAGTTAAATTGTTCCAAGTGAGCCTGGCTGGTCTTTTGACAATACTCTTGTAGTGCTTTGGGTTACCCAGCGTCCACAGGCACAGATTTATTCAGCACTCTAATTGTAAATGCCTCCATAAGGTGGCAATCTGAGAGATTTATAACTAATTGAAATGATTGAAGTGTTAATTCTGAAGTATCTCACTAGCATATACCTTTTTCATGTTTCTGTATAGTAAGCAAGATGAATCTGTGAACAGGAACTTCAGTGCACATCAGTCTTGTTGACTTTAGCTTATATATTGAGAGTTTGTTATGTGAAGAAAATTACTTATTAGAATAATGATTTGAAGTTGCATAGAGGGCTGGCATCATTTGGATTAATGCATTAATTTAATATAAATTAAAATAGGGTTTCATATTATGGAACCAGTGTTAGGTGCACTAATGGGGACAATCTCCAGAGAGCCTCCTAATTTTGGACACCAAGAAGAGATGTGTCTGGCAGTTGTGGATGAATGTTTGTACATAGCCTGTGCATGTATAATATTTCTGCTTACCTAGTTCACACATGGGCATGTTTGAAAATAAACCCATATATAATTTTCTGTCTTTTAGCAGAATTAAAGTGACTTTCATTGAAATGCCACTGTAGCCCAATTGCACCGGAAGACAGATCAGTATTCAAGCTGTCAACAAAAAGACTGCTGTTGGTCATAAGTCCTATTATCTGACAGCCTTGATGTGGGCTTGAGTTGAGATACAGCTGTGATCAATGCTGCTTAGCTGTACCATTACCTGATGGCTCATCTACACATGGTAGAATAGAGACCAAGTTATGCTGAAAAGCACTTATAAATGGGGTTGCTACCTGTGATGGGACACTGATAAAGAAAGCATCATCTCTGGATGACACATTTTTTAGATGTACTTAAGTACAGCTCCCAGTGCAGCTGTAACAGTGCAGTGATGATTGTGCCAGAGGTTGGAACTGCACATACTGCAGAGGGCTAGTAAAGAAGCAGCTCTGTAATACACCTTCTAATATTACCTCTCATCCCAACAATTCCAGTTGATTATTGAGATACTGACATTTTATTAGATGGTTGTGCATCACCTCTGCACAAGCACCCTCTAAGGTTTTGTATCCCAATTTCTAAGCTTATTGTTTTCGTATAAGTTTTTACTACTGAGAGGAGGCTGTGCTGTATTACAGCTGGCTGGCTCATAAATTCCATGGCATGTGAAGATCTGAGCTTGCACTTCCTGAATGTTTTTCACACTGCAATGAAATAAAAATCTTTGAAATAGGCAAGAGACATGTGCACATGCTCTAAGCTGGCCAGAAGTCTTCCTACAGGGTTGTTGGGGACCCCAGTTTTGTACCTGCTTTGCCTTACATGGAGCAGAATCCCAGAATCCAGGTGAGCATCCTTATTCTCATAATATACCACTCCACAGAGTACTTTAACTCTGATTATAATGGAGAGTTCATTTCTTCCCTGTCTTCTTTGGACTGACAGCAGCATCCCTCAAGAGGCTATTGCATATTGCTATGATACAGTGTATCAGGAGGATGTTGACACAAAAATGAGCCCGTGAATGTCCTACTGCTAAAACTGCCTTATTTTGGTTTTATTTTGAAAAGAAATATTAAATATGACCATTATGACAATAGTGAATGAATCTTAATTCTCTTTGTTAAACTTAAAAATTTCATTTTTTCAAACTACCTGCTGGGTTTTGTTTGCTGGGTTTTTTTTTGGTTTTAAATCAAATTGTGTTTCTAAGGCTAAAGCATGTTGGATACCTGGAAGCATTTCTGTTTTCAATGAGAACTTCTGTTAACATGATTCAATCATTTGTAAATGCAGACATGCACTCAGCAAATTTGATAAGCCCTGAGATTAATTTAGATGCACAAAAATGGTGAAACAGCCTAATCCTTCCTACAGAAGATAATGTTTAAACAAATTTACTTCATTCAGTGAAACACCTGGGCAAGCTTATTTAATATAGTCTGCATTCAATTATCCCCTCTGATGGGGCACTCGCCATATTTCAAAATATGATTATTTTCTTTGGTATTAATTATTTTAAGAACCTCAAAGGAAACCAGAAGCGAAATAAAAAGAGGGTTTTAATTAATCTGAGCCACCAAAAGTGATCTTGCTAGAATAGAGAAGATGGGATATGGAACTGAAAATAAATAGTGCTTTAAAAATCATGAATAATGAAGAATAGCTCTTAAAATCTGAAAAGAATTCTATATGAAGGAGTTGTTGCTAGGCATTAATATCAGAAAGGCACACTTCCACATAAAACTGTCTTATAGAGGAAAGACAGTAATTGAAAAAATATTTCTGTGAAGAAATCAATATGCACAAAATTATTGGCAGAAGTCAAGGAGGTGCAAAATTATGATATACTCTGAGAACAATACAGTGTCTTCAGTTCTTTTCTCATTTTGTTCTTGTGGGGATGGCACAAAGGAAGCTTTTGGGAAGAATTTATTCCACAATATATTTCTGGCAAGTAGTTTTACTAAAAGTGGTATCACTGCATAATCCTATTACTCCTGTCCTTGCAAGAAGGAATACTGCATGTGAAAACAGGGGATCCTGTTCTCCTCACCACAACTGGAACTGCAATAGGAATGGGGTTTGGATGTCCTTATTCTAGATAGCAAATCAACACACTATGGCAACTTGTGCATGAGTAATTAAATCATCAAGGCTTTTTGCTTCATCATTACTACTTGAAAGGATATTTGCTGTGCAGGTTTGCACAGGACAAATGTAATTGTATGTATGTATCCTCTAAATGTTGCTTTGGCTGCCTAGGCATGCACAAGAGGGAACTGTGCATGTTTTAGTCAACTATTCAGGTTGCTCTTGTTTAATTATTTTATGGTATTTTGCTACTTGAAAGTCTAAATGTAGTCTTGCAAAGATAATATTATATGTGCCTTAACCTTTGCAAGAAGCCAGACAGCACCTCATGCTATTGGCAGCAGATTTGCCTTGTATTCTACTCCTGCTATGAACTGTATGTTCCATGTTCTGTGGGCGTGAAAAGGGATTAAAACCAGTTTTACAACAGAAGTACATTTTTTATTCTGTCAATTACAGGGCAATCAGACAAATTTTAATTTCCAATCAAAATAAAAGCAGTTACCAAATCATACTCCTGCTTCATTTGGAAGACAAATGGAGCTGTTTTATCCCACTTGCAAAAGTAATTCAAAGTCAACCCTCACAGTAGACGACAAGACTTGGTTTTCCCTTAGTATTTCAAAAGGCATGAGGCTCATTTCACTTTTCTGTAGACTCTCTATATAGGTGCTTACAATGTCTCTTTTTCACTATTGGTCATTCCAAGTCATCTGAAAATACTCCACTGGGCTGAGTCTTGGTGTTGAAAGTGTGTCTTTTCTCTAGGATACTTTTGAACTTATAGGAAAATCTTGTTAAATATTGGAAATAATGAGAGAAAAAAATGTTTTCTTATCATCTATGTTTGTGTTCTTTGCAACAGAAATACATGATTAAATGGAAAGATATTGCTATTTTGTCACAGAATTGTACTCAAGCCAGAATGCTGTTTCATTCCCAGAAACAGCATGGTAAGGAGCAAGTCCAGAGAGGAGCAGTCAATATGCTCAGAGGGCTGGGGTACTTCTTCTGTAAAGCCAGGCTGAGAGCTGTGGCTATTCATGCTGAAGAAAAGAATATTCTGGGAAGAATTTAGAGCACCTTCCAGTACCTAAAGGAACCACAGAAGAGTTGGAGAGGAACTTTTGATGAGGGTATGCAGTGAAAAGACATGAGTAAATGTCTTCAAATTGAGAAAGAGTAAATTTAGATCAGATATAAAGAAGAAATTCTTTACTGTGAGGGTGGTGACTAGCATAAGTTGCCCAGAGAAGCTGTGGATGTCACATCCCTGAAAGTGTTCAAGGACAGGCTGGATAAGGCTTTGAAGTGGAAGATGTGCCTGTTCATGGCAGGGGTGTTGGAACCAGATTATTTTTAAGGCCCCTTCCGAACCAAGCCATTTTACAATTCCATGAGACCTGTATTCCTCTCTGTCAGGTGGCAGTGAGTTCAGTCCATCAGTCCTCTCCCTGAAATCTTTCTTTGACTATCGCGTCGTGATATTCACATATGGCACCTTTAAAGATGGAAGTGTATGGAAATCAGAGTCTGTAGGGTCTCAAATGGGGTGGGAGTTCAGAGCTGTGCTGTCCTGGAAGTCCTGGAAGTGGTGACAGGGCCAGCAGATGTTTGGTGTGCCAGCAGGCCAGGCGCTAAGGTGGGCTCCTTGTCCAACACCTCGTGTGACGATCTGGTGACTGGTCCTCTGCTGTTGGAGGCCTCTGTGCCTGCAGATAAAATCACAAGATCAGTCAGGTCCGACAAAACCTCTGAGAAGATTGAGTCCATTCTATGACCGAACCACCACTAAGTCACTATGCGCCACATCCAGTCTTTCCTCAAACACTGAGGGATGATGACCCTACTACCTCCTTGGGCAGCCTGTTCCAATGTCTAGAAACCCTTTCTGGCAAGAAATTCCTCCTACTGTCCAGCCTAAACCTCCCGCCGTGCAGCCTGGGAGTCTGTCATCTTGTCCTGTCCTGTCGCTGGGAGAAGAGGCGGAAGCCCCCAGCTGGCTCCAAACCCCTTTCAGGGAGCAGTGGAGGGTGACAAGGTCCCCCCTGAGCCTCCTTTTCCGGCACCCCGGCCCTGAGGCGCTCGGTGACCGCTGGGGTCAGGGCGCTCGGGGGGGCTCCCAGCCGCCGTGACACGGCGCGGGGCGGCGGGACGGGGAGGCCGGACCTGAGGAGGAGGAGGAGGAGTGGGAGCGGACTGAGAGGGTAAAAGCGAGAGGAGCTGAAGGAGCGGGCTGAGCGGGCAGCGAGCGGAGCGGAGCGGGCCCAGCTGCCCGAGGCGGGGCTGCCCGGCCGGGCATGGCGCGGCGGGCCGGCGGCGGGCCGGGGCCGCTGCTGCTGCTGTGGCTGTGGCTGTGGCTGTGGCTGAGCGCGCTGGGCCCCGGCCCGGCCGCCGCCTGCAGCCCGCGCTGCCGGCACGGCGGGCTCTGCCTCGCCGACGGCTCCTGCCTCTGCTCCAAGGGCTACGAGGGCGAGCGCTGCCAGCACGGTAACGGGGGCGGCACCGGCGGGATGGGCACAAGCGCCGCGTTCGCTCCCTCCCGTGCCAGCCCTCCGGCCAGACATCCCTGCGGGAAGGGCTGAGGAGAGCGGGTTTGGATCTGGTGTGAGGCGGGTGGTGAGGTGCCAGGAGGACCTAAAGAAGGAGAGGGGGAGGAAGAGAGCTAAGGCACCCTTTGGTAAGGTGAGGCAGCGATAGCGAACTGATGGAGCACAGCCAAAAGCCAGCAGGAAGACCTCACGTTAGTAAGCCGACCCTGCTGTCGGAAATGGCCGTGGGTCATCTCTCTCTATGGAGAGAGCTTTTTGCCGCTTGGGTGTTGGGTAAGAGACCACTCGCTGGACAGGCTTTGGTGTTTTATTTCTCCTACTGCTTTAACTGCACGCTTAAATACTTCCCGGGGAAGTATTTAAGGAATCACAGAATCAGGTTGGAAGCGACCAGAAGGTGATCTGGTCCAGCATCCCTGCCCAAGCAGGGTCATCCTAGAGCGCAATGCACAGGATTGCATCCAGGTGGTTCTTGAATGCTTTTAGAGTCTTGACAGCATTCTAAGCCACAGCAACATTTAGTTAGTATCTCTAAGTGCAATTAGTCAGGACTAGTCACTAATGAAAGCATCAAAAGAGTGTGTAGAAAGTAGGTTATTTTCTGGATTTCTTTTTATTTGGAATACATTGTGCTAATAAAAGTACTGTTGTTTCCTGCCTGGGTGTTACCTGATGCACAGAGTCATTTGTACATCTTATTTCCATGGTAGGAAGTGTAAAGCTAGGGTGGAGTCTGTTCCTGTTGGTTTCCACGGAGAGACAAAGTATTTTTTGAAAATGCCACCTAATATGCAAAAGTAAGCGTTGTGAGGAAGAGTTTTAGTTTAAACCCTCTTCAATGTTACACGTTAGATTTCTAATTTTCTTGCTTAAAAGTCTAACTGTAGAGCTTGTGGCTATTAAATGCTGAAAAATCACTCAGTGTCAGGAGTTCCTTTGCTTTGCATGTTGTCCTATGTGAAGAGGTGATAAAAATTGTACAATATTTCTTCTAATTTTCAATGTCCTTCATTTGAAACATTATTGTTTTTCTTTTTTAAACTCTGACATGAAATGCTGAAAATTTCATTCAGGGCTGTAATGTTTCATGGAGTGTTGTTTCATTTTGAGGCTGAGGCTAGCAGGTGGTGACAAACAATGTATAGCTAATGTGCTGTGTAGTGTACATTAAAAACTATGCTGTATGAACTGTTTCAAAAACTGTTGGTTTCTAGACATTTTGGGGTTTAGGGGAGAGGTGAAATACGGGTGGAGAGGCAGATCAGTTCTTGAACTAGAGAGGTGAACTGTCTGGAATTGTTAAGGAAACCACTGAATCTTTGTGCTTGTAAGGTCATCAATGTACAAAAAAAAAAAAAAAAGGATAAATGAAGCTTCACCTGTTGTTCTGTCAAAAAAACCAAACTGAAAACTGTGTGAAATAACACAGAAACAGAATTTTTCTTAAATTGGGAGCTCTTTTTTTCATACATCTCTGTTCTTTCTTTGCCTGCTAGTACTCATTCTGTGGGTACTAATGTGAAAAGTCTTCTATTCTTCAGCTGGGTTTCTTGAGAGTGCAATAAGTATATGAGGACAAAATCAGGATGGTGTTCATCTTTTTCATACTTTTCACCCATCCAGTCAAAGAATAAGTAGAGAGCTCATCTCACACCAGCAGCTAATTCAGATGAGACTCCCAGAAACAGATGGGTTTCTAAAACCTCTGTGTGAATAAACAAATGTTTTCTCAGATAGCAGGGCTGATTCAAAGTAGCAAAGAGTCTGCATGATAGGTAATTAATTTGCAATATTAATGGATTTATGCAGAATTTTGCAAAATTTAGATTTTTATTCATACCTTATCAAACTTATCCAAGCTGTCAGCAGTGAAAAAGTTGCAGGATTTGTGATAATCATTGATGCTTTTCTCCCAACAGATTATTAGAGTTGTGAGAAAAGATACATTTGTCTTGCATGCTTGTTAAACAAACACTGTATATTTCAGAAAGGCTTCTGAAAAGCCAGCTGAAGCAAGAAAAGGGGAAAAAAGAGTGTGGGGGAGAAGAAAATCCTGACTTACCTCTGGAGACATTTTAGAGAAGAGGTATAAGGAACAGAGCATGCAGTTTTTCTGAAGATGAACGTAGGAATCCAGTAAAGAGTTTGATATTTCATCTTAAGAATCACATGATGCCTCTCAAGTTGCAACATCTTTTTATTGAATCATTTCTTCTTCTCACCTATTTTCTGTTATTTCTCCAGTTATCCAAAGCTTTTTTTGGCAGTCTGTGTTCCTGTTTAATATGGGTCTTCTGCCTATTCTGTCCAGGCCCAAAATATTCCTTAGTTTTGAGTGCTTAAAAGCTTAGTGTAGTAGAGTGCTCCTTGTACAAAACTCCACTCCAGGGAAATTATTTCACCTTATCAACAATGTAAGGTGACATGGCAGATATATCTTAGAAAATATTAAGACAAAGTGATGCAAATGTAATAATGTGCAAATTTCTTATGTATTTAAGTAGTAACTCTATTAAGATTCACCAATATATATCCAACCTTTCTTTTCTTACAGCTACGTGTTATCCAAAATGCAAAAATGGAGGAGAGTGCCTCCGACCTGGAAAATGCAGATGTCCTCCTGGGTATGGGGGTAGATACTGTCATAAAGGTAAGATCCAAGGAAGTGGTAGCTTGGAAAGACAAGGAGTTTGAAAACATACTAAATTAATTCAGGATGCCTCAAATCCTGGTTCTAACACACTTTGACCTTAATTCTGTGAATCTCTGACCTTACTATCAAGACATGCATGGCCTAGAGGTTCTGCATGCTTGCAGGAGGATGGGATGGAGTACACATACTGGAATGTGTTGTGAGAATCTGAGTAAGTTTTTTGCCTTGGAAAATACCCTTTTTATGTGCTATGTAAATATTCCATTTAGCTCTATAACAGATTCTTTCTAAATAATTTATTGAGACATAGAGATACATATTTCTGCATTGAGTGGTTGAAACTTTTATGTATTATCTGCAAGATGTTAAGATTGAGGGCCAGTCACTGAGGATGTGTGTGGCAATGTATTGTTGAGAGGTAATGGGAGATGACAGAGAAGTAGTAAAGACCAATTTTGATGTGTGTGTGGTGTGGCACAATGTGCTATACAGAATCTCACAAAATCACAGACTGGGTGATGTTGGAAGGAACCTCTTCAGGTCATGATTTCCAAGCTCCCTGCTCAAGCAGGGGTACCTAGAGCCAGCTGCTGAAGGCCATGTCTTCATGGCTTTTGAATACCTCCAAGGACAGAGACTCCACAATTCCCAGGGCAATCTGTACCAGCATTTGGTCACCCTCTCTGTGAAGACCTGCTGATGATTTTCTTGTCCTTTATGTGGCTGGATTTGATTTTCAGAGTCAGTTCTTGTATTACCTCTCTAGGAGCTGAGGTGAGGCAGACCAGCCAGTAGTTCCCTGGGTCCTTCTTGCCCTTCTAGAAGACTGGAGTAATATTTGCTTTCATACAGTCCTCATGCACTTCTCTCTGTCACTGTAATGGATCAAATGCAATCAATATAAAATACATTCACTTACATTGTGTGACAAAGTTTTATGCAAACAAACATTGAAAAGCTTTTCCAGCTGTGCTGGATTTGACTTACATGTCCTTGCATGTTCAGTATTTGTGGCAAAGATCTGTTAGCTAAAATTGTGCTCAATACTTGTGGTTGAACAAGAGATGTGGATATTTTATCTACAAATTATCAAGCAGACATCCAAACTGTCCATCTTTACAGTGAAGGATAGTTGTTTTTCTTCAATACAGTGAAGGTGGTAGAAAATGCATTTATGCTTGTAAAAGGAAGCATTTGATAGCACAGAACAGTGATTGTGTTCTCCACATTTGATACCAATCATTTGTCTGGCATAAATAACGCTTCATTAATGAGGCCTTCAGGGCTTTGATGTGTACAACAATTCTGAAATGAGGAGGCTAACTCAAGTGTTTGGCCTTTGGGAAGGCACTGCTTAACTTGACTATAGTCATCAGTTCATTTGTCAAAGTAATATCCTCTTTTCTTCCTCTTGTTACCTGTTGGTCCTGTCAGGTAAGGAAATATGTGAATCCTTCACCACATCTTATTGGCTTACCAACTGTGATTTGGCAAGTTAGATACAAATATGCATTTTAGTAGTTCCTGTGGTGTAGCTGATGAACAGCCTGTTACTGGTGAGAAGTAGAATAGTGCCTTGCCCTGAACAGTGGAAATTTTAGTTTTTGCAGATGTGATAAAACAAGTGGTTGATGCCAGACAAGCTGTTTAAAGACAATTATTTGAAGTTCTGTGCTGCTTCTGAAATGCCCAGTGTATGCTGTTTTCCACAGTAAGCTGTGAAGGAGGCTGTCAGAACGGTGGGGAATGCATCTCTGTCAATGGAGTCGTGAAGTGCCTGTGTGCTTCTGGCTGGACAGGGTCAAGATGCCAGGAAGGTGCGTGTCTAGATTCATTAAACTATTTATATTAATTCTAAAACTACAGTAACAAAAACATTTAAAATGTATTAAGAAGCTAATAATATGGAAATTACATTACCACAGAAATAATTGACCTACTAAATATTATGGATACTTACACAGATAAAACAGTGTGAAAATATTTTGCATCAAGGTGTACAACTTTTCACATTTAAACCAAGATTCATAACACAGTACCTACATTTTTTTTTTTCCATTTCCATGGTGCTGGAAATGTTTTTGGAGTTATACCAGTTGAATATCTGACCTAGAAGGAAATGTGTTTTGCCATTTTGACTTGTATCATCCTGAATCTTTCATTCTGTCAGGATTCTTTTATATCAGTTTTATAAATCCTGCTGACTTACCCATTCTTTTTCTTGTAGCAATTTGTCCTCAAGGTTGTCGGAATAATGGAGCTTGTGTGGCTCCTGGGATTTGTAGCTGCCCAGCTGGATGGGTCGGTAGAGCATGTCACTTAGGTAAATGACTTCTGACATTTTTCATTTATCCTTTCCTCTGCTTGTTTGATTTACCAATCAAAGTGTTCAAATCTTCAGGGCCTAACAAAGCTTCCAGGGAAGGTATCTTAGAATAGTAACTGAGAGCTCCTTCCACATACTGGGGCTCTTGCAAGTATGTATAGGGAGTAGATGGCTGTTCAATTTACTCAGAAACACATAACTTTTTCACTTTGAAAGAGATTCAGATTTTGGTTGTCACCAAATTAATTACTTGGTTTGTTTCATTGGTATTTATGAAATATTGTCTGTAAACTGAGACCCCAGTATAAGGGTCTCAGTTTACAGACAATATAGTAGTTCTGTATATTATGTATATATATAGTACTTCAGTATAGTACTTCTGTAATTTTCAGTATAAGGAACTGAAAATTACAGAATTACTATTGCCAATGGTGTGGGTTAGAAGCTTCATTAAATTTTATAGAAATGTAAAACTGAAACTTGCTTCTCACTTTGAAGATAAATTGATAGAATCAACTCCATGTGTTCTTAGAACTTTGAAAGCTGCCTGTAATCCAGATTAGTACTGATACTCTTACTGAACAACCACTTCCATTTTTACAAACTTTGATTCACAAAAGCAGGTGATTATAAAGTCTTTAATCTTGGCTTCTTGGGCTTTGTATGCTTGTAAAAGCACTGCCCTGATTCTAAAGGCAATAATACTGAGACTACAAAAGGCAAGGGTTTATTTTTTTACTCTCTGGGAGTCTGTAAACACCCTCATGCAAACGTTGGTTTTGAAGTGGATATTGTGGATGCATTAAGTCCTCTGCATCTGATATTTTCTCATGGCTGTGGGCACAGCTGTAGCACTAAGTCAGCTAGTGTTAGTTCTTCTACAATATATATGGTCAAGCAAATATTAACAAGTCATATTTTGATGTTCCCATTGACCATCAAAATGGGTTTATAGTCATCAGTGTGTTGAGATAGAGGGTGATATTAAAAGCCAAGTGTGAGAGTTGCAGAGAACTTACAGAATGATTAGTTCCCTGCAGCTGCAGTAATGGCACAATTGTTCAGGTTCTTAATGTCAAAATAATCAGTTCCCAAACTAACTAGATCTGCATCAAGTTTGACTTCTTTTGGTGTACATACTCATATATAAATTGCAGCCCCTGGCTTGTCAGCTGAACTGGTGTGTAGCTGAAGCTGTGCCCACTCAGCCTTCCTCTGCTCTTGTAGGAGAAGAGGAGGGCAGTACGTAAGATACTGACAGGATGAGGTGACTGTTTCCTCATGGGTGTGAATCCAAGCACAAGCTTGAATAAGTTTCAGCAGGAATTTTTATTGTTCTCCCACTTTTATGGGGACATCCATCTCAAAAAAAGCCTGTGCCTTAAAGAACAGAAATTATAGTATTTTAAAAGGGAAATGGAGCATAAGTAAGACTAGACATATCGTGCCTGTATTCCATGAAGGCCACAATGCCATAAATTGAGAGACATTGCTTTTCAGTTCTTCTATTATGCTTTTATTTATACTGCCCCAGTGCAGTCACCAGGGAACAATTCTGCTACTGCAGTGAGACAAAAAGAAAAATGATGCTGTGTTGTGCTGAAGACATGCTGTGTATCTGGTGTCTCATTTCAGCTCTATGTAAACTGCCCTGCCAGCACGGAGGGAAATGCATTGCTCCAAATGTGTGTAGATGTCGACTGCCATACTCTGGGCCACAGTGTACAAAGAAAAGGAAGGAATGAAGCAACTTCAGTTAAGATCAGTTGCATTTTTTATGTGACTATAAAGAGAAGTCTGCAGCAATGGGGGAAATAAACATGGTAACTTGATTTCAGACAGCTTTTTGTTCTCACTATATTAAGTACATGCTTTTCTATATGAAAGGAAGGTATTGCTGATTGTAAGAATTTTGTTATAAATATCCAACTGTGCGCTGTGTATGACATCTTTTCTCCTCATTTTTTCTTTATAAGCAAAAGTATTATGCTTGGTTGATACAGCTGACCTTGAAATAAAATTTTCCTCAAATCAAGTCAGAATAGATCTATGCTCTTCTTTTCAATTTTTCTCCCCTTTGACTAGACTTTGTTATATATTTTTTAAAAGCATATGAAACAAAAAGGCCTCAATTCACATAATCAGAAGTGAATGTTAGTTCAAATATAATTTGCCTTGAGATTAAACAGTTGCAAGAGGAAACTTGCAGAGTTTGCATCTTCTGCATTATCAAACTGCAAAGCATCTTATTTAAATCATGGTTATCACTTTATGTCTGCTTCCTGTCCCTCCCCCTCCAATCTGATCTGGATCTCAATCAGCTAAACAGTATTTCAAAAAAACCCCAACAACTAGCACTCCCCCACAAATACTTGTTCAGTCAATTCTGCCGTTACTTTCTAAAAGCTTAATCCATGCTGATACTCTAAAAGTCCTTATCTTGACTACTTCTAAGGTCGTATTATCTGATCAGCTCTCAACATCCAATTGTTTATTTTCCTTACCCCCGTGAGACAAGGAAATGACTTTTTTTTCTGGAGGCATTGGTAATTCTATGCTATTTAAGACTGTGTTGTTATGGGAGCAGTATATTGGGAGGCTGCAGACTAGCAGTGAGGAAAAGCCATGCCTGTCACAAATCAAATGTGTGGGGGATGTTGATGTTGTCTTCTGGAGATGTTCCTGTTTGGCTTCATTTAGGTTTTACAGGCTTTTGAATGGGCTGCAGAAGGGACTGAGTCTCCTATGTTCATTGTTCCTTGTTTCATGTGTGCTGTTTTTGTATGGTACTGTTGAGGAAGGTTTTGCCAAAACATGCAAACTGAATCAGTGAACTTTCTGCATGATGCTCGGATCAGTATTTTTTGGGGGGGGGAGAGGATTGATTTTGTCTTCTAGATTAAACTGGAATATTTTTTTGTGTGTGTGTGAGAATTTTAGCTATGCATTACATTTGTTGGAACATTTTAACTGTGTTTAACCACCAGAACATGTAGCTCTCACGGGCAGTGACTTAGGTGGACCTCTTTCTCCCATGATTACAAGCCACGGAGTACAGAGGCAAAGGTAATGGGGTCTTCACAGTTACCAGTCTTCTCTACAAGAGGGTGCCCAAGCATGCAGAGGGCAATGGAAAGGCAATGATTTAGTTCCTGAGACTCCTGTTTCCTGTTATGAGCAATTGTATAGTTGAGCTTTCTCCTGTGCTTGCTTTGGAGGCTCAGAGGAAACCTGCTGCAGAGATGTGAAGGATTTCCTGTAGGGACAGGGCACAACATAAAAGGAATGCACATTTTTTCGTGCTGCTTTTGCTGGGATACACTGGCTATTTCAGACCTGCTGGTGAAAATTTGATTCTCAAGTGTGGAAAAAAAATTATTTCATTAATGGTTCTGAAGTTTTATAATGATGATGATGACAATGATGCAATTCTGTGTCACAGTCCACTACATCATGCCATAATTTAGAAATTCAGGAGTTAGATTGAATACCTTAGGCGACATACTGTTTGTCAGGGAATTAATGGGAAAAAATTACTTGCGCCAGACCCAAAATTTGGAATAAACAATGAGTACTATGTAAATGCAAAGAGGCATAATATTTCAGTATTATTCCCAAAAAACTGACTTCTACTAATGAAGACAAAAGTGACAGTAGTAGTGACTAGAAGCTGGAAGAGATATTGGCATTGTCAGGAGCAAGAGACCAGAAGCAGTCGTTGAAAGATCTGTAATTCGTGTTTCTGAACAGGCCAAAACAAATGCTAATTTAGTTTCCTGTTTAGAAATGATTAAAGTAAGCAGTAATTTGATGCCACACAGAATGCAATGGCATATTTCAGAAATATTACTTGAACATAGCACCATCTGCTGGCTAGAGTGTTCTTCATGGTCTGGGGTTTTTCTGGGTTTTTTTTTTGATTTTAAGAAATATTTCTTCTTATCATTAAATTAAATTTTAAGTGAGCTTAAAAGTGATTTTCCTAGTTAGAGTTGAACAATTTTAGAATGTATTATTAATGACAGTCTGTGTCCCCAGATTAATATTTCCACAGTTAAACATACTAAAAAGACTTAAAGAATAGTCAGTAATTCTTGTCTTTTGTTTGTTTTCTGCTCGCTGGAGGATTGAAAATACTAGTTAGAGCATGTAATTTTTGGTGATAGCTATGTCTTCCTGTGGGGAGATAAGTAATGCATACAGTTCAAAGGTCAATAAAAGCAACACAGAATGTGCTAGCTCCCTTATTCATTACAGCTGACTGTAACACCTTATATAGATACTGGTTTTCACTAAAACAACTGTAAAAATTTTAGGGGTATTACAGTGATTCCACTTTTGATACTTTGTCTTTCTAGAATGTGCATGGAAAGGTGAGGTGTTTCTTCATTTTAGTTTACTTACATGCACATTTTTATTAATGCTTTCTCTTCTGCTCTAAGTGCTTCTGGCAAGAATGGATTTACTTTCTTTAGCTGTAAAATACCATTTGCTAGATAAGCTGAGCTGTGGGCAGAAGTTGGGTAAAATTACCTAATATCAGCATGTGACACCTTTAAATGACAGAGATTGCATAAACAACTTTAGTTATTAGCAAAGCTTTCTAACCTCTACATTTGGGTTTGTATATGTACCCAAAGTTATGCTTTGAGAATTTAAACTTTGGGTTTTTCCATTTGGACAAATAATGGGGTGGGTGTAGCAAATTTGCGAAGTAGCTTAAGTTTTTATACCTACTTACTTTTGGGCTTGTGCTGATACTTCTTCATGAGTTTGCTTTTGGTAAATAGAAATGTTAACTTGCTTTCTCTTCTCAGCAATGAAAATACATAATTAACTTTTGTAAAAAGAAAGAGACTTTCCCATAGGGCTCACTTGTGGTTTTATTTTTAACTCATAGCCAACATGACTATCTGTGGTATCTTCTGTGATACAAGCTCTTCCTTCAAAGAATATTCACTGTACTGCATTTTAAAAGATCTTTTCAAGATCAGGGGCAAAAATCAAGGTGCACTTGGAAGAATTTCTGCTGGCCTGCAGAGCAACTGTAGTACAACCAGGTAATAAATGGATGATGTACATAGGTACCTCCCAGCACTCTTTAGTGTCTAAAAAAATCATGCAAGAAAATTCAACTACGATATTGGTGTTGTGCATAACATAGTAAGAATCATTGCAAAATCTTCAGTTTGATACAGATGCCCTTCATTCCTTCAGAGTGGAACTGTGTCAACTCTAACCCTTCTCCCCACTCCCACATCCCCTAACTCTTTTGGGCCTAATTGCAGGTTACAATTTCAGCAGTTCTGTTAACCTCTGTACACAAGCCCTCTCTATAAACCTGCATCTTGTTACACTGAGCAATTTTACTGTATTGTTGCCATGTGCTTTCTAATTACAGTGAATTCTGTTTCATGTCTATGATGGACAATGTAGTAACAAAACAGTTTCAACTAATCACATAATTACTGGGCAGTTTTGAAGTAGCTATCTGGCATTTTGCATGTACTAATAATTTTTCTGCATCATGTGCTTGCTGGAAAATAGCAAAAATATCACAGCTTAGCACTGAGCATTTTTAGCTACTGTAGCAAAACTCTGGATGTGCTTTTGTTCACACAGCTTGCATTCTGAAAATGTAAAAGAAATAATTTCTTTAATTTTCTTTAAAATCATTGGAAATAAACAGCAAGCACTAGCAATTATAATTTAAAAAACCCTTTATTGAGCCTGAAATCCTAGAAATGCACATTTCTTGACTTCTAGAAATTTTGTGAGTTTCTAGAAGTTTTGTGAGTGAAGGATTGCACAAACTCATTAACCAAAGTACTATTAGCAGTGCTCCAGACAGATGTTATCTTTCTTTTTTGCACAGTATCTCTGTAACTGACACATGGAACAGGAGTGATTACAATGAGATTATGTGATATTGGCGTGTTTGTACTCTACAAACTTCTTCAGTACCTTGTGTATCCAAAACAGTTCCAAGAGCTAATCAGATTTTGTTCATTGGCATCTTCGTGAGATGTAAGAAAGGCAATGTCCAAGAGGGGTAGGTTTTAAATAATGTAATGGTTCCCAGATCATCAGGCTATCAACCATGTGGATGCCTGACTGAAAGAAACCATGGAAACACTGAAATTTAAAATGCAAGTGGGAAATTGGACATTTTAAAAGTACACCAGTCAGGCATTTGGAAATCCATGAGGTACGACTCTGCAATGATGCTAAGCTCTCAAAATACCACCTTACTTTGCAAGATGACTTAAGAAACTATCAAAAGGTTAGGAGAAATCTAGGCACAGAGCTGCTAACAGCTATGATTCGGTAATTAGCATCCCAGAATGGCAGTAAATGGCAAAATTACCTCTATTTTCTTCCTGTCTAAAATTAGGGTATGTAAACTGAATATTGCTCAGGAGAACCGGAAGTCTTATTTCTTGCTTAAAAAAACAAAGCAGTAAACTTCAATGGCTTAGCTAAAGGGATGTTTGTGTCTATTACCAGAGCTCATGTTCTTCTGGCAGGAACTGCATGTCTTTCACAGCTCTAGGAGAGGATAGCAGTCCTCTGTAGGAAGCTTCAGAAAAACTGGAATTTTATTTTTTCAAAAGCTATCTGGCAGCTGGCAGGTGCTAACAGTTCATTGGAGCAATTGGTAATTTTGGTAATGGAAAACATTCTCTGTGAAGTCTTTACAAATACTTTCTGACATGATGAGCACGGATGGCATGATGTACAACAAATTTCTCCTCTTATTATTCCTATTTTAAGATTCGTCATTGCTCAAAGCATTGTTAAATTTCTCTAAGAGTATTGGGAACAAAATTCCCTCATATTACTGAGTGCCATCTCAGACAGGAGCATTAAAGTCTTACGGACACAGGAATAATTCAGTAACTGTCTCTTCATGACTGTAAGTAATAAAGTCAAAACAGAAAAGTTGGGATCTTTGGGATCTGCAAAGGCTTGTCATAGATAAATCAGAGTCACTCTGCATCTGGCTGACTGTTAACAGAACAGGAGGCCTTGCCT